TAATATATATATGCAATATATATATATAATATATATACATAATATATATATAATATATATATGTATATATATTAATGTATATATACCAATGCCAACGGGTATGTAACGTGTACGTTACGTGCTTGCCCACTGTGAGTAATTGTTTGATTGTTTTTACGCATAGATGGCAACACTTGTACTAACTCCCCCAATGACAGTTACGAAGCACCCCCGTTCGCCCGTTTACCCTTTTCTTTGATTTACGAAATATTTTACGTTATCTTAATTTGCTGTTACTAATGTTAAAAAACATCATAATAATTATAATGTTTATGATAAAAATAACACCATCGATTTTCATAGCACTAGTGAAAAATACGTTTTTCCCGCCATTTCAAATCAGGCGCTAGCAGAGCCATCTATCGGCAGACATTTAAGGAAAAACATAGAAAATGGGAACAGCATTTTCCCCATTTTTTGTTCATTTTCCCCGGCGGCATTGGGATATATATAATATATATATATACATGTAATATACATATATATATAATATATATAATATACATATATAACACATATAATATATATATATGATATATATATGCAATATATATATATAATATATATATGCAATATATATATATAATTACGCAAAATCACCCATTACATTTGGAGAGTCTTTCAGGCGGGCGAGGAATCAAGTGAATTTAAGGATTCGTAATGCGAGACGGCAGTACTATCATGATCAAAAATAAAATCAATGCGGGAAACTCAAAGGAAACTTAGAAGATAATCTACACCGCTTTAAACAAAAGGCCAAAGGGTTCACTATTGGAGGCCAGGAAGTGAGAGATCCGAAGGTAATTACACAGATTTTTAATAATTATTTCATAAGCATTCCAGAGAGATTACCATTAGCATTTCATAAAACCGCAGCTTAAGCATTAACGTTCCTTAAAAATCGTCAAAAAATACCTTTACCCTTTTTCCGACTGTTGTCCAGAAATTTCCATACAAAAGATTAGCTATAAAACTAATGACAACATCCGTATTGGTCTAATGAAAACTGCGTTCCCTAACATCAGTCAGGTCCTCCTCCATCTCATAAACTCGTCATTAACAACAAGCATTTTCTCCAGTCAGGGAAGACCACCAAGATCCAGCCAATCATTAAATGTGATGAAAAGCGTTACACTGAAAACTACTGTCCGATTTCGCTTTTATCAGCCTTTATTGAAATTCTAGAAAAAAAGGATATAGTTCACAGATTACAAATCTTCCACGAAGATATAAACCAATGTACAGTGTGTTTTGGGGCAAGCAATTGCCGCCCTTATAAATCACAGCTACGAAAGAACATTTACAATCGGCTTATGTCTAGGCTTATCTAAAACCTATGAACCGGTAGATCATAATATTCTACTAAATTAACTTGAACACAATGGCATTAGAGGGACTGCAAATCAATGGATCGCCTCCTATCTCAGTAAGAGACTACAAAATAAAAATCACGGTTTCCATTTAACTTTTTTCTAATGACAATACTAAGTTCATGCCAAGATAATTTCATGTCTCATAATATATTTCCTATTTTTATATTATGTTATGTGCAATTCCCCAACCTTTTTAAAGATTTGTAAGAATATATATATATATAGTTATGTGTGTAATTACATGTATGTATGTAAATGTATATGTATATACATGTTTATGTGCGTGTATGTGCACATGCATTTATATGTATACATACATGTATGCATGTGTATATGAGTATATGTGTATGTTTGTATATGTATGTACATATGCATGTTACGTGTATATGTATAAATATATATATATACATATATATATATATATGCATGTATGTACGCACACGCACTCACACACACACACACACACACACACACACACACACACACACACACACACACACACACACACACACACACACACACACTCATATATATATATATATATATATATGCTATATGTGTGTGTGTATACATGTGTATATATATATGAATATGTGTATGTATGTATATATACGTATGCGTATATATACGTATATGTGTGTCTGCATGTGTATATATGTATATGAATATGTATGTATGTGTGTATGTCCGTATGTCTCTATTTAAATGCAGGTGTCTACAGAGCGTTTTTGTCCCCTTGAGGCTCAGCCAGTACTGCCTTTTATGTATTGCTTTTTTACTCTTACTTATTATTTTTTTGGCTAAATAAACGACATGAATCTGCATCTGAATTCTCTATCCCATCCTCCCTCCTCTCTCCGCTTCTCTCCCCCCCCTCCTCTTTTCATGCTTGCTTTCTCAATATCATTCTCTACCAGAGAAGCTAATATGACGTAACGTTATCACTAACGGATAGAGTCAGTTACCTTCCGCTGTACTTACACTGCCTGGAGATGACTCGAAAACAAACACTTCTTTCGCGTACTGTTGTGTTGTGGAATCGCACACCCCCAATTTCAACGGTTAAATATAAATACGGTTAAAGAGCC